TATATATATATAAAATAAAAGTACTGACGTGTTTGATAAGGGAGCTCAGGTTCATTCCCCGGGGAATTATTTCAGGACGTAATCAAGGGGCTAAATTGGACCTAAAACTGGCCCACAATTTAGTTTGTCTGAGTTCCAGAATTAAATGTGCTCATCCTTCGTGCTCTGCAGTTCAATTCGTCCCAGTTATTTTCTGTTATGTTCCTTATACCCACCGAATGCTCCTTCCTAATTCAATTGAAAAGACGGGAAAAGATATAACAAATATTTAGTCACAACTACTTTTTGAGACAAAATTGAACACCCATAAAATTTTCTTCTTATATATTCTTTTAAAAAAAAATCTTAATTTTTATATAAAATTTACTTAATAACTTTTTATTATATTTTTTATAATAATTTTTTATTTGATATTAAAAAATTAATAATCAAATAAAATTTTATTATAAAATTTATCAATTTTTATGTAATATATTTTTAATTTTTTAATAAAATTTACCTAATAAAATTATTCTTATTCTTTTAACAAAACAGCCCCTTAAAGTGATAGGTTAGGTGGTTGGCTGAACTTCTACCTGTAGATGTTGGGTTTCTCAAATCTTTTTCTTGAGTTGTGTATTTTGTTTTAATTGTTATAAATTTGTGTTTCCAGATTAAATGTACGGCGAGTGGAGGCTGTGGCAGTCCAAAGCCAAACAGCCGCAAATCCGGGAAAATCCGGGTGGAGTAAAGAAATAACACAGAAAAATTCAGAGAACAAGAGTTCTGAAACATTAAAGACACGTGGTACAACAGTAGAGATATTAGAATATAAGTGTTGGGCATGCAAAGGCGGTCAGGTGGGGCTCACTTCCATTTGTCACATTTTTTTTTATAAAAATTATTAAAACAAATAATTTTTTATTTTATCTTTAAATTTTTTCCATTCGATTCAACACTTGAATTTAAAATTTTTAATTTGAAATATTGAATACTTAATTGTTGAGTTATTTCATTAAAATTATTTGTCACGTGCTTCTAATAAACTAATATTATTGAAGTGGAATTTCTAATATTGTATTTTTTTAGTATTTATTTTATTTTTCATAATTAATTTATATTAAAAAATTAAAAAATAATTTTCAAAATTTTTAATTCTTTAATTAAAAATATATATGTAATATTAATAATAAAAATAAAATTAATTTTTATAATTTTTTAAAAATTAAATATAGAAAATATATAAACACGAGGGCGCAGCCAAACCCTCGTTAAAAAATGAAAAATCCGTGTATTTCCAGCTCCCGGTTTCTAGGAGGCTCATTTCCATTTTATCCCGGTTTTTGGAAAAACCGGTGCGCGGTTTCCGGTTTCTGGTTTTTAACTCGGTCTAATCTTAATCACTGCTTGATTATAGTAATAATAATAACAATCGGTGAGCCAGGATTGAATTATGTACGGTAATACTATTCCTTAATTACAGCTGACGTGGAGACCAGTCAGACCTCTGAGTTAGTACAACTAATTTTGTACTTAAAAGATTTTTAAATTTTTTGAACCATAA